ACTAATCTTAAGGTTCGAACTTAGTGACCTCCTGCATGGAGTTTCAAATTTGTTCTTGTTTGAAACACCCATATGCGTAGGGATGGCAATTCTCCCCGTTCCCCGTTGAGCCTCATGGGGATCCCTACCACAGGTATTGGGTGGAGAGGAATATTCCTCATTGCGAGGCGAGGACATGGGCCATTTTCTCCTCACAAATTTTACCTACTTCGTGAGGATCCCCATCCTCACAAAAAAAAAAAAAGTTTTTATTTTAAAATTAATTTATTCTTTAAATTCAAATCCAAACTCAAATTCAAACTCAAATCCAAATCAAATTTAATTACAATTAAACTTAATCCAATACTATTCAACCCAACCCAACCCAACCCAATCCATTCCCCTTACATTTAACTCTCACCCTAATTTATTTTAATTCTCATCACTCACGGTCTCATTTTCAATCTCTCTGTCTGCGGCTCACCCATCTCTCACCTCCATCTCACCTTCTCAGTTTCCTCTACTATTGCTGTTGTCAAAGCTTGCTGTCGAATTCATCTCCTCTGCTACTGTTGAAGCCATCTACTCTGCTGTTGATCGATCCATCTGCTTTCCTGCTGTTGCTGAAGTCATTTGCTTTGCTGCTGTTGCTGTTGAAGCTTGCTGCCAAATCCATCTCCTCTGCTGCTGCTGAAGCCATCTACTCTACTGTTGCCGGATCCATCTGCTCTACTGTTGCCGCCAGAGCCATTTGCTGTTGTGGCCGGAGCCATCTTCTGCTGTGGCCAGAGCCATCTGCGAGCAATCTGATATTAATTGGTGGAGAATGGGGATCATCGCGAGGATCCCCATTTCTCGCAAGAAACAAGGACGGGGGGCAAAATCTGCCCCCCATCAAAATCTTCACAGGGATCATTGTCCCATGATTGATGGAGAAGGACTCCCGATCCCACGAGACCCGTTGATATCCCTACATATGCGCCATATTTGCATAGGTTTAAATGACTAAAGATAATCCTTATGCTTGCCATAAGAAAAACACTTCCCTACCCCACTGCTTTTTGCATTGGAGTCTCCCAAAAAAACCTAGTAAAAAGAAGTTTATCTTCGTAGGGCATTTTGCGATTCCCGATACTTCTTGGGGGCCTACCCAACAGACGCCTCAAGGAAGTTCACAAATTCATTGCTGGTCCCAATTAGATATTTCAAGGCCACTTGGTGATAAGTTCACCTTCTGCAAATTAGTAAATGTTC